ATGTAAGGCTCGTGCAAGCTTTAGTAGATATCGATACTTACGGTAAACCATGCCATTCTATTGAGGAGTGTCTATACAATTTGTCCGCCTATCCATTCCATGCATAAAATAATAATCTATCAAAATGGAGTGAGTGAATTCAAGACCATTATCGGTACGGAAGAATTTGATTTTGGCATTAAATTGTGTTTGTACCTAATTAAAAAAGAGTAAGAGGTAATGTCATATCTCTAACTTATGCTTCATAAGAAAGACCCATGTGGCATGACTTGTCATCGTCAACAATAATGAAAAAATAATAAGAACTCGAATTGGATGGAGTACGAGTATGAACCCCGGATATCATAATGCACCAAATCAAAGTTATTTATGGATTTATTTATGTGAATTGGAAAAGGTAGTCTAGTCTTCTTGGCCTTACAACAAGCATCACAAAAAATTCTTTGATGAGTCAATCACTACTGATAAGTTTGGAACTAACAGAACCCAATGAATTGGTAAATGGCCTAGACAATGATGCCATAAAGCTATTACATTGTGTCCCTTTGCCATAAATACCTTTCCTATCTTTGTTAATTCCAAACAATACACACCATTTTTCTCTCTACCCACTTCAATTAGCCTTCTTAAGGGTAAGTCCTGTATCACACGAAAATCAAATCTAAAAATTAAAACATAATTAAGATCCTATGTTAATTTATTGATTGAAAGTAAATTAAAACAAAAATTAAGCACTCCCAAGACTTGATCAAGGCTTAAATTGTGATCAAATTTTATTCAGCCCAAAGCTTTAACTGGGATACAATCTCCATTAAGAATGTGTACTGAAGAGAGGCGAGGATTTATGTGAATATCATTCATAAAATCGCTGGTGCAAGCTATATTATCTATTGCTCCAATGTCAATTATCCAAGATTCTGGCTTACCAAAATTTTTTGGTGAACCCATATTAGATGATGAATCAGTAACAGACCTAAATGTAAAGCCCAAAAACTGAAGAAGCTGCTGAACTTGGGCTAGTGTGAATTATGACATCTGCTGCTAAACTTAGGTCACGCCAATGTTGGATGAATGATCAATAAGTAGGAAAAGAAACTAGCCTAAAAAGAGTTTCCATTGATCCAAAAGAGCGAGCTGAAGATGAGTCTGCTAAATAAGTTGATGTAAGATGTCGCTGGCCTAAGGAATTTATCTGTTGCTAGTCCATGAAAAGAAGCATCGGCTGCGGATAAGTCTGCCAAATGGACCAATCAAAAGACATGGTGACCCAAGGCATTATTTTGATTTTTTTTCTACTTGCTCCTGACGCCAATTCTGTTGTGCTTGTAATTTGTGATCGTGGCTGTTCTTATTGTGTCCTTGATTTCCTCCAGCCTGATAGATACCCGTGTAGTGCATAGCTGGTCTCTCTACTATGCTTGTCATGGTTGCAGTGACTATAATGAAGATGACCTCCACCCTTCCCATGATGATGGGCTTGTCTGTGTTCATTCGTCCATAATTTTGTCAAGGCAGCAATGATACACCTTTTTTCTCATCATGTGTTGCAACGGCATAGGCTTTCCCAAGTGGTGGTAAAGGCTTAATATTTAGAATTTGAGATTAAATCATCCGTTAATCTTCATCAAGTCCCATCAAAAAAATCAAACACTTTCGTCTCCATCTTTCTGGCAGCTTCACTAGCATAGATAGGTATGGGTCTAAGACACTGCAAGTCACTCCACAGACTTTTTAGTTTTCCATAATATGTAGATAAAGCAGATTTCTCTTGTTGTAATAATGCAATTGTGCATTTTAATTCTTATACTCTGGGTGTAATCTCTTAAGTAAATTTTCTTTAAAATCACCCCATATCTCATTGGTTGTGTTGGCATGTGCTAAACCTGTTTGTAATTCTTTAGAAATAGAATTGATTAGCGATGATTTTACTAGTGCGTTACATGTATCCACGATCGAAAATCTCCAGAATTGACATTGGGTTTATCTATTGATCCATCCACGAACTCTGCTTTGTTCTTGGATTGGAGAGTGTTGAGAAAGTTATTTCTCCAAGAGAAACAGTTATCTCCATTCTCACTCATAGGTTGTGCGATAAATATTAAACCAGGACTATCTGAAGGATGTAGGTAGAACATAAACTTGGTATCAATTGTGGCATTTGATATATTTGCAATGGACACCAAATCATGCTTATTATCACTTACAGAATCAGTCCCCTTGACTGGAAAAAAGAGAAAAAAAAAAAAGATAGGTTAGGAACTTAGCTCTGATACCAGAAAAACTTGAATAATCCTCACTATTGTATTGTTTGCGTACAAAGGGAAAATAAATATGCAATGAATTAGAATCCTTAAACATAAGAGTCAATAATAATTCTATATATGATATGATCTACGTTTTAAGTATATAGAGCTAATATCCATATATATATATATATATATATATATAAAGATGCAATCAAGGAAGAATATTCTAATAATAAATGAAAATATTCTATGGTAATATTTCCGTCTTTAAGGAACGAATATATTTTGTAGATATTGTACTTAAATGTTTGTGTATACAATTCTGCTGAACATGAACGAACAATACTACAACTTTTCTTCATCCCACCAAAGCAGCAAGTTTGCTTCAATATGATTAGTTCAATGAGGTTTGTGCTATTGATCATGACATTGTTCATTCTCTCAGTAGCTAAGGTGCAGGCTGTATCCGAAGCGTGTGAACAATATTGCCGCTTTTCGTACTGTTCTAATGTTGATCCTAAAATTTTTTATGTATGTTTGAATATATGTTTCAAGAATTGTGACCAGATCCCACCACCAGCTCCACTCAAGATCCAGGAGCCTACTGTTTCTCCTAGCTGCAATCTTGATTGTGCAACTTCCACATGCTCCAAATTTGGATCTGGTAATTGAATGCTTTACTTGATAAATCTTTTTACTTCTCTAAGTATTATAATTATCCTAACCTGCATGACCATTAAAGCTCTGATCTGCTTGTATTTGTATATTAACATTAGTTTTGATTTTAGAATTTTAATCACTCGAATCAGGGGTCGCTTTTATTTTTTATCTTTTCTTTTTTATGGGGTATAACTCAACTCAAAGTTTCTTACACATAGTGGGTATTCTAATTGTGTTATGGCAGGTATAATAAAGCTAGAAGGTTGTCTGGAGCAATGTGCAAAGAAACGCTGTGGCAACTCATCTTCTCCATGAGGACAAAACTAAAATATTTCGGAAACGTTGGCTTTGCAGTTCCTGAAAGTGTTGGTTTTTTTCCCTTTTTCCTCAAAGAATAAAGTGAAGAGAAAATTGGGTCAAAGCAATGAAACCAGTTCAACACATCCGTACAACAAACAATACCCAAAATTTGGTATGGTTTATCTTGATTGTTGTTTGAAATAGTTAAAGAGTTATTTTTGATAGAGAATAGAGAACTGCCAAAGCTTCTTGTGGTTTCGTTTTCCACCATTAGTATTTGGATGGAGATAGAGAACATTCCCTACGTACTGCCCCGGACGTAATATTTTGCCATCCCCATAAACTGCCAAATCAAATCTAGATTAAAACCATTTTAAGCTCTAATGATCTTCAAATTATCTATAAGCTCGATCTTTTAAATTTCACCCAACGGAAAGCAGAATATCTAACCCAAGAGATTGGACCTTGATAGACTAGGATCTCTGTGGTTGGAGTCTACAGCCTGTTGTGCAAACACTAAGAGCCCAATAATCTTTAGTAATTATATATTTTCATTCCAACCTACGACAAATTTTTTTTTTTTTACTCATTGTACAAAACCTATATATATATATATATATATATATATATATATATATATATATCAAATATTCTAAACAAAGAGTGCGTTAGAAGTTCTGATTTGAATTGCACAGAGTTCTTTGCACCTTTTTGGGTAAAGTTTTTATAATAAATGTACAAAAGTGGTGAACGGTCATATGAAATGCTTTTCCATTATTATTTATTTCTTAGGAATATATGCATTTCCAATTGCTTTTCAAGTGACCAATTTCTTCTTTTTTTTAATTAATTAAATATTATAAAGTCATTGATCTTATAATACTCACATAGTAGTTATATGCTGCAATATAATTCAATGAAAAAGAAATAAATAGAGAATGCAATGGAGTGTAAAATAAATGATAACTGAACTCAGAGATTATAAATTTTATCATGTGATTTTGATTTTTTTTTTTTTTAAAAAAAATGCAGAATTGAGACAAGGGAACTACACACGGTTACAAAACAATACAAAAAATCATGTATATTTTCTTGCTTTTTTTACGTCCATAAACGAGATAAATTCTCTCAAAAAAAAAAAAAACATGCATAATTCAGATAGGGGAACTACATCATCAGTTACAAAACAATATGAAAAACCATTTATATTGACTTGCATTTTTCCATCCATAAACGAGATAGATTTAATCAATCAAATTGTCAGTAGGACTAACAAGCAATCTTGGGTCGGATCCGATAAATCAAATTTTAACTTTTTTCAGGGTATTATTATAGAACTTGAATGGGTCCAATTTCTTACCAAGCTTGGGACTGGGTTCAGTTATTCATTCTTTACATGGTAATTAACGTATTTATATGTAAATAAAATTATCGTGTGCATCGGGTAATAAGTTAATAATTTAGTAATTATATGTAACATGAAAATATATTTTGGGGAACAAAAACCCGTCCCGACCCAGTCTCAATTCGGGTTGTGTAAAACTCGGGTTTTTTAGTACGGTTGGAGTTGATATCCCCCGAGTTGGCCCAAATTTAATCCAAAATACGAATCAGCTCAATGACTTAAATGGGCCTATAATCACCTTTATGCGTTAAACAAAAACCCACTTTCCTCCTGTTAAAAACACACACAAACAGCAGGAGTCGCTCAGACAGAGAGAGCGACAGAGAGTAATAGAATTTAACGATGGCAGCAACCACGGAGGCCATCATCGGCAAGGACGCTTCTGTCCAATGCGTTTTCGGCTGCGACCGATGCCTGACGGAGTTGGTGGGCGAGGGTTTAGCACAGTGCTACAGGTACTACAATTCGCGAAGGATAGTTTTGGAAATGCGCAAAGACCGTGGCTGACTCAGACCTCACTCGCTCACTCAGTGAGTTCCATTCCATTTTTCGAAATAACCCGGACCTTGATAGCCTCTGATTCTGGGTTTCTTACCTCTCCAATCCGCACAAGAAGGTGTATTTATTTTTGTTATCCTAATTCTTATTATTTCTATTCTTTTATTGAATATTTTAATCACGTTCATGATATTGGTTTTCATAATAATAATATATTAATTTTTTTTTAATTTGTTTGTTTTCATGGGGCTTTTGCGTAGAGAACAGAGGAAGTGTAAAGGTGGCAGCTTTTCTGCATTATTTTATAATGTATTTAAAGTTAGTGCCTTTTGATTTGGTTTCTAAGTATACTGTTTAAAATGTTGCATTTTTATTTTGTTTTTGATTGATTTTTAAAGAACCTTTTTTGAAGAGAAAAAGGAAAAGAATTGGCTTTTTGAGTTATTTTACTGAAAATTGGTTGGTGCATATGCAAACCAAAGGTTATTTTATGATGTTTTTTTTTTAGATTTATGATGAGTTATGTTTGTTTTGATTTAATAAAGAACCTTTTTCGAATAGAAAATAGCATGAGCGGTAGTCAGTGCTTTTCCTGTTACAGATGCCAGTCTTTTTTCTTCAGTTTTACTCTTTTTTTTTATTAATTATTATTATTGCTTATTTGTTGCATTTTTATGACTCATTCTAGGGGTAAGCATCTTTTTGTTTTTACCAGTTTAGTTCTTTGTAGGACACATTGCTTGGCGAATTGTTAAAAAGCCTCGGGCTTGCAAACACATGCAGGTTATACAAAAATGATGAAGAAAGGAATGCCTTCAAATTGAATTTTGGGGGTACCGAAACCTAGATGGCCTTTTTTTTCACTCATTTTAAGTTTTCTTAAAAATCACATGCTTGTAGTGACATGTAAAGTTGGAATTATGATACAAGAGCGACTCTTGTTGAAGTACTTTCTGTTAGGCAAATTTTGTATGGAAATCCTGGTCATAGTTTTTTGTTTTTTAACTGTTCTCTGGTCATCTTATGAACTGATGAAATTAAAACAGCAAATATTATGACGGATGCTGCTACTGGTCGTGCAAAAACAAATAAAATGAACCACTGCCGAACCACGTAAAATCAGATTATTTTCATTAGGCATTTTTTTGTTTTCCTGCACCTTCGCAAGGGGCATTGCCCCCTTGACTGTTGTGCTGGCCCTGCACAGCGCCTTATATCCGCAACTTAACAAATCATGCCTGTGATGCTATTGGTATTCTTACGTTCTTGCTATTTTGCCACCAAAGTTAAGGAAATTGTCAACCGATTAGCATTTCTTCTTTTTATCTGTGTGTGTAGCTTATTGTCCTCGTAGCTTATATTTAAAAAGGTTTGGCATTTAAGCTTTTGACAATCACTTGATGGTTTGCTTTGCATTCAGATCACTGACCTGCTGGAGAACATTACCAAGCATGTTCTGCGGCCGAAGCTGAGTATGCTAACTGCTGAGCAGAAGCAACAACTTGCAAACAAGTACAAGTTGGAAGACAAAAAGGTACTCTGTAGTTATAAGATGAGATGCCAAAAATGTGAATGACATTCCTTTGCTTGCGCCATCCCTGAGTGGATTTAATCAGACATGCACTACATTTCACATTTAAGGCTTCCCTGTCCCTGTTGAGTCCCTGATCCTGAAATTATTACCTCAATGCTCCTTTTAGTTCCACGGGATTTAATTTTGGTGGAATCTAATAACGCACAAAAGTTACCTTCCAAAGCAGATTGTTTTCGTAGAGCTTTTCATTGCCAATTTAGGGGAAATGCATTACGCCTGGAATAGTGCAGGGCCTGTCGGCTACACCCATACCTAAAAACACTTTATTTTAATATGTATTTAGAAGTATAAATTTGAAGTTACAAGCAACATTTACTTGGGTTTTAGCATACAGGAGACTTGGTAAATTAATTTAGCATTTTTTTATCTTTTGTCATTTCTTTTTTTTGGTTTGTTTTTTTAATTTTTTTTTAGAGTTGGACAAAATATATCGAAACCACGCCCTGTCCCTAATAACTAAGAGATCCGTTGGTCCAACATCATAACCGAATGAAATCCATGCTTTAAGAACCTAAATATTTTTAGATTTTCTAACATAAATAAAATTAAAAATTATTATCAAACAATACAATAAAATAATTTTAAAAGAGTAAAAAAAAAAAAACAAATTTAATGATCACTAAAAAGTAACCAAAATGCCCCTCGAAAAGCTACTAGAAATAACCAAATTGCCTTTTGCACGAGAAATGACCAAAATACTCTTAGGATAAATCTGGAATCGAAAAAGTATTGGTGCGTGTGGCACGCATACCTAACAATTTATTGAATTGCCATTGAAGCTCCCGTTGGTGCTGCCATTAGGTACGATCGTTGTCCGATGAGTATTTTGTGCGTGACTAGTCGGGGAAGGATTGTTTAGGTTGTTGGTTCGTCTAGAGTGGGAGGTTTAGGTCATTGCGTTCAAAGGAGGGAGATCGGCATCGGCTGATGACTGCCACTTTCCTTTTCTTCTTCGATCGTGATTCTGAGCACTGCGAGGGACATGAAGGATACCAATCAACTTAGAAGACAATGAGGAGTGTTTCTCCAATGGTTTGGACGTCCGATTTGACCTCAATCGGACTGTGAAAATGGGTTGTGAAAACTGGTTTTTATTTAGATTTTGCTTCGATTTGGCTGATTTTGGTGAATTTTTGCCGAGATTTTAGGGAAGAACAATTTCTAAAAGGGCGAGGGATGTTTCTTTAGCAATGGTGGCAACTGGTTTGGTCGAAAAATGGAGATTTGTTCGGGTTCATAAACGAATTAGATTATCGATCCTCTCTTTCAATTTTCGACCTCCTTCGGTGTCTTCCTCCTCTCAAACTTGTTGGAAATGGTCAATCTGAGTGTGGACTACAAGTTTCATAATGGTTGTTGGAGGTGGAGTTGACTAGAGGATGGTCGATTTAGGAGGGAAACTTCAGTTGGTCACCCGCGGGTTTGAGGGTTTGATTGTGATTTAAGGGGCTGTTTAGTAGGTTTTTTTGTTTTTTGGGAGAAGATGGCTGCTGGTAGGGAAGACAAATAGTGATAGCCCCTACATTGTTTAAGAGGATATGAATAGTTGCAACTCTTTACTTTTTTTAGCTAGGGTTTTTGTGTGTAGAGGTGATGGATATTTATGGTTAGAATTTTTTTTTTTTTTTTTTTTTTTGTTGGGTAGGGAAGATGAATAATGAAGACCCTAAAAAAAATTAAGGTGAAAGTGTATTTATATAGGGATTTTTTAAGGTTTTGGATAAAATAATCTTGGTCATTTCTTGGTTTGTTTCTGTCAATTTCAATGTAAATTTTATTATTTTTCTCCAATTAGCTTCTTAATTGAAATTATTTAATTCTTATTCTCTTGATTTCTTTCAATTTCACACTTGAATAATTCTCAATTAAGTCTCTTGATTTTTTTATTTAAATTGCATCCATAATTGAATGTCATTTGATTTTCACTTTTCACATCATTTTCAGTTGGATACCTAATCATCTTTCCCATTTTTTTGTTCTTTTCTTTTTTTTAATTAAAAATAGGGAATAATTTTAAGAAATTAAAGTCCTAAAAATTTATAAAAATGCCTTGAAATCATGGAAAGATAAACTATGCAACATGCTAATTTTTTTAAAATTTCTTTTTTTTTTTTTTTTTTTTATAAAAATGGAAGAGGTTCAAAAAAGAGTTATGACAGAATAAATAAGCATTCTATTGCTTTCTTTAAATTAAATTTTTTATAAAAAATAAATTTCGAGATTTGAAACCCAAGTGCCATATTGAAGAACCAATCAGCCAACATTCAATTTGACAAGATTACCAATAAAACTACTTTGATCTCAAATTGTTAGCTTACGCTAAATATTTAAAATTTGATAAAATTAACAAAAATTGCATGAACATATAATCATTATATGACATAGATTTTTCTTTCTTTTCCTTGCCAGATAAATATAGTTAATATAAAAGAAAAGAAAAAAACTACATTATTGACTTCCTTTCCTCCTTTGGGCACAAAAAAACCACATAAAGATTAAATTCCCTCCAAATTATAATCAGAATAATTAACAAAAAATAACTAAAACAATAGAGATCGTGATTATTCATTTTCTGTTTATTCCCTCACAAAGCACTATTCACCGTGTGTCATTTGTTTTTTTTTTTTTTTTTTTGTAATTTTAGACAATAGTATTTTCGTGATTTCTTGGTTTTTTGGACATTAATATGAAAATTTTACATTATATTTCATTTTAGTTTTTGATGTTTTCAAAAACACAAATTGATCACTTGGATGGACCAGGCTTGCCTTTTTTCGGCTCTTTTTTTTTATGTAATTTTTTTTTAATTGAATTGAGTGTGAAAACTATGAAAGAAACAATTGTTGTCTTTTATAGTTTTTTATGAACATATATATCGGATTATATTACTTTTATTATTTAAAATTGATCTATTCAATTTGTTATTTTTATGAAAATTCTCTTCAAATTAGTTTGTTATTCTTATTTTGTATGTAATTTTTATTTTTTTAATAAATATAATTTATTTTCCTTTGTGTATGGAATTTTGAATAATTTTTTAAAAATAATAATTAATTAATTAAAAAATAGAATTTTTTTGTTTTATTTGCTTATTCTTTATATAATCAAAATTTATCGAATCAATTTTATGATTGTTTTTGTTGCGATCTATCAATTTCAATATATTTCTTATAACTTAAGTTTTTTAAAAAAATATTTTTAGATTTATGTTGCACACCCCGACTCATTGAGTATGGTTATGGTGTATAAAAAATAAATTAATATCATTGATTTTATTGAAAATTAACTATGCTTCTATACACATGACACTAACAATTTGTTATTAATTTTTTAAAAAAATTAAAATTATCTTTTCAAATAAAATAATATTTTAAAAGAAACACCTACCAATTCAATTACAATTTCTATACTAATATTATTGATTATTTTGTAAATAAAAATAATTAATTAAAAAATAGAATTCATGTATTTTATTTGTTTATTATTTCTATAATCAAAATTTATCGAAAACAATTTTATGGTTATTTTTATTAGAGTCGATTAACTTCACTATATTCTTTACAACTTAATTTTTTTAAAAAAATATTTTTTTTAATTTATGTTGCACACGTTGATCCTCTAAGCATAATCATGATGTATAAAAAATAAATTAAGATCATTGGTTTTATTGAAAATTACCTTTATATATAACCAACAATTTGTTTTTATTTTTAAAAAAATTAAAACTAATTTCTTTCGAGAAAAATAAGTAAAACAAGTATTTTAGAAGAACCACCTAATAATTAAAATATAATTTTTTGTACTAATAATATTAATTATTTTGTAAATAAATATGTATAAATCAAATATGCATATTTTAAAATGTTGGTCTTCTCATCAACATTAAAGAATAATAAAAATGATTTATTTGTTAAAATTTATACAAATTTTTATATTAATTATTGTTTTATTTTTTTGATACAATCTTATGAAAATTTTAAAATATTTTTAAAAAATTTATATTTAGATTATTACAAGTTTTTATTTAAAATTAAATGCACAAGGAAAAAATAAATCGTGTGTTTTTAGCAATAAAATCAATGAAAAACACAAATAATAATAAATGAAATACAAAATTTTGATTTAAAATCATAAATTAGATGATTTTTTTTTTACTTTTACTTTTATATATTTAGTTGACCGAAAGTATGATACAGAGCTAGCAAAGTAAAAATAAATTTATTTTGTTCGGCTCGCCGCATATCATGGGAAGGCGACTAGTTTAATGCTACACACACACACACACATGCTAGTTTTTTACATGTGCTACGCTGCAGGTAGGATAAAATATATAAAATTATTTAGAAAAATAATTTTAATTTGATAGTCTATTTTATGCTGTCAATATATAAAAATATATGAAATCAAAAAATCAAAAAAATATATTTTAAATTGTTTAACGTAATTTAAATTCAATGGATGAGAATTTTTTTTAAAATGACAAATTAAAGTAGTAAATTTTAAATAATAAAAATAATCAATAAAAAATACTAAAAATAATTGGGATCGAACCACAATACAATTAAAGTTTGAAATTAAAAAATATATATATATATATATTGTATAAAAAAAATTGAGGGCTATATAATTTTAAATTAATTGGATGAGAAAAGAATGAATAATATTAAAATAAATAAAAACTATCATTAAATGTAATTTTAAATTAATTAGATGAGAATTTGAAAAAAAAATGGCAAATTAAAGTTATAGATTTTAAATAATAAAAATAATGAAAAAAAATTAAAACAAATGGGTTAACCCACAATACAATTAAAGTTTGAAATTAAAAAAAAATTGTATAGAAAATATATATAAAAAGAGAAAAAACACACACACATAATTTATTGTATAAATTATAATAATATATTTTAAAAATAAAACATTGTCTGTTCTAAAATTTTAATTCAAAATTCATATATTAAAAAACTAAATGTATTAAAAAATAAAATCATATGAAAAATTAATTTGATGTGAATTTTAATAAGAAATAAATCATTGAAAAAATAAATTTAAACAATAAAATTAATATAATTAGATATATACTCTCTCTCTCGATTGTAAATCCACAAAAGAAGTTTTACAAAAAGATGTTCAAAATAATGCATAAAAACGATTTTTGCTAGATGGCAAGCCATCCTTAGTATTTTTTATTTTGAAATCGAATTTGTTAAAGGAGAACAAAACTCCATTCCCGATTTCTTAACTTGGGAATTTTTGCAAAACAGGACATGAT